TTAGCAGGAAAACTCACAAAATGTACTCTGTGTGTACTGGTAGTCTCAGTAACAGATCACATTTGTCACTAAGCTTTACAATATTTTCCATGTGTAAATGTGTTTTCTTTAATGTATTCTGGCCTAGATGTTGTGTCTCAGATGAGGGAACGAATTAGATGGGGAATTCCAGGGCTAGATTATGTCAACCAAAAGTGAATCAACTTCTCTTCAGTAAATTCTTTTTAAGATTAGGGTAATTACTCTGGCTTTACAGGCAGAGAACCTGATACAGAAAAGCAGTTACTTGCCTGGGTTGGTGGGAGCCTTTGAAACACATGTGGAGCTGTGGGAGCAGACTGGGATGCTGGGGGGACCTCGTGGAACTGCAGCGTGGGTGTCGTGGGGCTGCAGCACCAGCTGGGACACAAACAGCTCCATAATCCTTCAGGCTAGCCTGTGCATGGATAAGTATCTGCTCCACTGAAGTACAGCTGTTTCTTGAACAGTGTGGGTTCCAGTGTGGAAATCCTTGACCTACTTTACCGTGGTTAGATGTGCTTAGTTCAATTCCTGGGATTTCTCTTTCCCCCTCTTTCCACTTGAAGTCAAGTTTTGATGTTGTGTGCCATAGCTGGAAACACTGAGAGCAAGGAGAGACAAATTTGAGGCAAGTGTTGTGTTGTGTCCCACTGAAATAGGACTTAAGAAAGTGGAGTCCTCCTGCTTGTACATCCTGACACAATAAAAGAGGAGGAAAAGAAGGGAGAAGTGTGTGAGCAGAGGTGAAAAGCTGTCATTGCCCTGCACTACTGAATAGGCAGAGTGGGCTGATGTCATCGTGGCCACAGGAACAAAAAAACCCCAGAGAGATGCTGGGCTTGATTACATCAGTTCATGAAATTGGCTTTGCTTTCCTCTTTGCACCACCAGCTTTGATGCAAGCACACTCAGTAATAGTGCAAAACAATCATGTTGCATTTTTTTACCTTCAGAGAGGATTCTTTGTAATTGAAGAAATGGTGATTGTGCCACTCATTTCAGTAAGTACCTTTTATAACAGTTGACTAGATGACATTCAGCTGGACTGGCAGAGACACATTTTCCTCTTTTGATGCTGTTTCTAGCACAATCCGTAGTTGAAATGGAAAATTTTACTTCTTCATCCTCTTTTACATATACACAGGAACTTGAATAAAGAAGAATGGAAGTCTTGCATTATATTAATGCATTGAAATGTGCAAATATATTTCCTTTTTTTGTTATTGAACTTCCTGCTTATTCTGCCAGCCTGTATGAGAATTTGAATGGGTCCCACTAAGAATGCTTGTTGAAGTGGGATTCCCAGCTGGCTTCAGTGGGGGACTTTGGCTCAGCTAGAACACCTAGACTGGCCAACACCAAAACATCTGATATTTGTCTTTTGTGGCTTGTTTCAGGAACATGGGTAAAAAAAGATGCACTCACTGATCTATTTGCAAAATAAGAGCTTGAATCTGTTTGGATGTAGGTCAATGAAACATGAACATGTAGATATTACAATTAAGTTATCTTGGGGTTTACTGAACATGTATTGGTATTGCACCATTTTTGGCTGTCTCTGTTACGTGGTAGCTGTCAACATGACTTGGGTTATCCTGTGCATTCAGACTTCACCAGCATGGTTTGAGAAATGTTTAGAATGTGGTTTTGGCAAGTGCTGAGAAGGTGTATACTGCATGATGCTCTTAATAAAAGTGAACCCTTAGGAGTGTTGTGAAGAGAATATAGATTTAGCACATGAGAAATGACAGTAACTATTCCCTTATGATGAGCTATTTGTTTAGCATAATGGCAGATGTGGAGGAGGAGGGTCATTTTTGGAGTAACTGAGCATTGTGAGAAGTGAGTGCACACTGGGTTATTCTGCTACTGAAAGTCTGTACACATGTAAGCATAAAACATCAGTTTGGCACACTTAATCTGGATTGCTAGGCATTTCTCCTTTAAAACTCTGTCTTGCCTGCTTTTAAAAGGTAAGGTTAGGCAGTTAAAAATGGTTTCTTATGCTATAAAAATAGTTAACAACTTTCTGTTAATATCATGCTAAAATCATCAGACAGCTCTGTTGTTTACAATAGGAAATAATTTTGAGATGTATTTAATTCTCAAAATAGAAAAAAACCCACAGCTGCCCACAAAATTTACAGTTTTCCAAAATATATAGGAAAATTATATTAAAAAAAAAAGGGGGGAGGAGGGGTGAGAAGCAAGCATTCAAATTTCCATGGAAGCTCTGTGTTTATGTAAAGTGCAGCAGCTGCACTGCAAACTCCCCTCTCTGGATGACCTCAGTCCTGAACAAGACAGACTGTTCCCGGTGCAGGTGTGATTACTGAATTATTTGTTCTGTTTTGGTGTCAGTCAGTTACAGAGAAGTATTATGGGTAAAATTTGTATCCACTGAATAAAGTGAATTGGTAGATTTGGTATTCCACAGTTCACTATGTGCCTTCCTGCTATTGCAGAAATAGTGGATTTTATTCTCTTGAATTACATTTGTTAAATAGGACAGGCAAGAGGAAGTGACTCCAGCAACAACCTCTGAATACATCAGACAGGCAGAAAGGCAGGATTGGACTGAAGATGGTGCTGGATATAAAAGATAGTTTTGACAGCTGAATTGTGATTTTATTTTTTTGCTCCCCCCCCAAAATGTGTATGCTGTTGACATGGGGAATTTTAAGTTTCTTCATCATGTTCCACATAAGAAATAGAGCAGTGAAAAATGCTCACATGAGTATCCAGTCAGCCTTGGTTTGAATGTGATTACCCCTGTGAACCTGTCAGTGTTTATCCTTAGATCACACTGGTCAGATGTCAGTATTTACTTATGTTCTGTGTGCCTTTCATCTCTTACCAGTTCATGAAGTTTAATAGAAAGATCCTTTTCCTTCATTCCTCTTTGGTGTGGACTGCCAGAGAGTAGGACTACATGTACTGAAACGGCTGCTTTTCTCACACTTGTTTCCAACCAAACAAGTCCAGTCAGCCCCTGGGGAACCCAGGTTCTTGAACACCTCCTGTGTAGGATTGGCTTTTCAGTGTCTTGGAAGAATCAGCACAGATCTAGAACCCATAAAAACAAGTCCTTGTAGGAAGATGGGTGCAGTTTTCTCCAAATACTTAACAAATTCAGTGTCTGCTTTGGCAACCATTAAAGAGAAAACAATTTATTCTCCATAAGATAAGTTGGCCTTCAGCAGCCAAGGCCAACTTAGAGTTCGAGGAGGTTTGAGTGGCCCTTTGGCCACTCAAAGTGCAATAAAAGGACACAGCATTTCAGATGATTTGACAATCCTAAAAGGCTTACAGAGAGTGATGGCAGTAGTGTCTTGTGTACAGCCACTCTTCTGTTCCTTCTCTGTACTAACATGGTGGTGGAATTACTATTGACTTTGTGCAAGGCACAGAGCATTGGTACAGAAATGTGTTTGAGAATCTGGGAAAATTTATTTGAAAAGGGAAGTGGATTAACATGAAGATTCCTGTGCAAATAGCAATGCACTCATAAACACATTTGTGTTGTGTTTCATGAGCTTGCCATTGCATTGTGTGCTTTATTAAGTGAAAAATAGATGGAAAATGGAAGGAAGTTTGTTCAGACAGCCTGATTTTAAAAACTGGTTCTCGTTTCTGATCCAGTGCAATTTCTTCAAATGATCTGACTCTCATTGAAGACATATAGGGAAATCAGTCATGAATGATAAACCACCTTGATAGGCTGGCACAGGTCAAAGGAGTGTGTAATCCTCTGTACTGCCAATATTCCATGATTCTCCTGAGCATAAGAATTGTCTGCTACCTATTTTTCTTTTAATCCGTCTGAAGCAGATAGATCTTTCTAATGCAATTGGTAATGCATTCATGGTAGGACTTGGAAACACATCAGCATTTCTAATGGTGGGAAGTAGTTGAGGGATTTGGCAGGTCAAGGACAGCTCAAACACTACCCACTGCTGTTGGAGTAGTGAGACACTGTGGTAAACAGCTGGTGTTTCTGAGTCATTCATTTTGCTGTTCCCACCTCTCTGCTCTGTCTGGGTGTGTGGGTGGCCAGGTACGTTTCTAGGCAGGGAAGTCATTAAAATTGATGTCACATATCACAGACATGTTATAGGGAAGAAGGGATGTGGTTGCATCCCTCTTTTACCCCTTCTAAAGCCTTTTTGCACTTACCTCCCTGATGTCTGTGACCACCAGCAAAAAGGGTAGGGGAGCAATGTAGAGATGGGCAGGTATTGTGCCTCCCATGGGTACAACAGCTTGTACCTTGAGCCTCATCCGTGGCACTACAGACCACTACTAAGGGGCAGGAAGGGTCTTTCTCAGAAACAGAACTATAAATATCGTTGTATTTATGTATTCATTTGCCTGTCTGCTTTCTGGAGGGTGGCTGGTGGTTTCAGGTTAATGGTGGTTGATCTGATGCCTCGAGGGTGTAAAAGGTAGGTGTGGTACACTTGGGGCACGTTGAACTTCAGCAAGTGCTTGTGCTTGAATCCCTTCTGCCTCCTGATGAGCACAGTGGGTGCAGTATTATGGTGTGAAGGCTGAGCCTCTTGGGGCTTGGCAAAGGTCATAAGTTAGCTCTGAGTTCCTGGTGTGCTCCCTCTCCTGCACTAACAGCTTGTGTGTACCTTAACACCAGGCTTGAGCATTCTGCTTCAGAAAAGGCACCTCCGTGTAGAAACTGAGGGCAAGGCTCCTACCTCAGCATGAAGTTACAGTAACCTGGACAGGGTTCTGTATATATGTCCTTTTGTTAGATTGTGTAAAGTGGAGCAGAAAGTCATCCTGCTTATTTTAAATAACAAAATCTGACACATCTGAGACTGTGGTGGCCAGCTGAAAAAAGACATTGAAATACCCCAAGGTAGTGCCATTCAGCATTCTCAGACAATGAGAATATAACTTGAGATACATAAGAATCGTTTCTTTGCGATCTTTGAACTTGACTGCATGTTTGTCTTATGTTCTTTCAGGTAAGACACTGAGGTCTTTAACTGCTCCAGAAGAGTGTCTGGAAAGAAAATGTCTCTGGCAAATATGTATCAGGTAACACTGGGTAGTGGGGGAGCTTCTTCACTTTTAAGATATTTATCTGAACCAGTCTTGGTGAACTGAGTAACACCTGACTTTGCAGTTACAGATTCAGAGGAAGGAAATCTTGAGCTCTTAGTCACAGAAACCAGAAAAGTGCCTGCTTTTCATTTTTATGTAAAGTGCTGCTGCTTTTGATATGCAAATGGTGCACTGTACCCTGTAACCTCAGTCTTCTAGAAAGCAAAAGGAAGGGCAGAGAAAAATGTGAGTGGTGCAGGAATCCAAAGGATATGGAAACAGGGTTCCTACTCTCTTTCACAGTTCAGTCCTAAATTGCAATAAAGCAAAAAGAGATCAAATCAGTTAGGACTCTGAGGGCAAGGATTGCCCTGTGTCATAAGGGGCATTTGAGAGTTTCTGCATGTGATGAATATAAAAGGTAACTGAGCTGGCTGAATGTTGAAGTAGCTGTAGCAAGCAGTAATAGAACTGAGTGGGTTGTAGCCGAGTGACAGCTCATCATATAATCATCATGTTTTCCACTTAGAGCATCTCTGAAAAACAAGAAAGATGGTTTAATTCTTTCTGGTCTTCCTCTAACAAGAGGTTTTGAGTAATTGTTTTTTTGGAAAACCTTCATTGACATCTGAGCTGTAGATATTTATTTTGAGTGATAGGAGAGTTATTGCCTGTGGTTCACAATATTTTCTCCCCCACATACCTCATTAAATCAGAGGGAGAATTTCCCTTAGTCATTTTTCTTTTTCCTTGATCTCCTTGTCTTGTCCAGAGGTCAGGCTTGCTTTGCTGGCATTTCATGATGCAAGATAATCACTCAGCACAGCTCAGACTTTGCAGGTTGTGGTGTCTTTGCTGCCCATTCCTTTCCCACCCACCCCGACCCCTGGGCAGCTGTGGGGAAGCAGCACGGAAGGTCACACTGAGTCTCTCTGAGTGCAGCCACTGAACCTCCACAGCTCAGCCACACCGTGGGGACGGGGCTGACCACAGCCCACCTTCCTCCTCCCTCAGCCCTCGGTTCTGAGAGAAACAACGGTTCCATGATCACAGAAAACAGGGGCAGGTTCTCTGTTTTCACAGGAAGCCTCTCACTAACCTCCAAGTCAATCTTTTTTTTTCTTTTTGCATTATCAGGAGAGTGGCAACTGGAAAATGGCTTTATTGGGTGAAATAGGATTTAGGGGAAAATAGGTCTCATGAAGTGAAGCTAAAATGAACAGGAGAGTGCACTTTACACTGTGAGCCTTTAGGCATCTGTACACACTGCGTGCTCTACTTTTGGGTTATATTTTGTCATCCAGCAGTGACCAGAGAGGTCCTGTCACAGCTGATCAGGTACTTTGGAATATGACCTACTCTTCTGTAGTGGGCTTCAGAGCTTGTCAGGTTTTGTATCTAGAGGTGTGTTTTATAGTTCATAAAGTATGGTTCTTTTAAAAATAAAGTTGCTTTTATTATTTGTGAAGGTGAAATGGTCCCTATGAAGTTGACGAAGTGTTGTAAAGATGTTTTGGAGGGTGAAACTGTGGCTGTTTTTCCTGTGAAGTCAGCAAACGAGGTGGTTGGTGTAGATGTAAAAGAGTAACTTGAATTGCTTGCTTTTGTGTTCTTTTGGAAGAACTGTTTGCAGCAGTGCACTCCACTGCATTGCTGAAGTTTGTACAGCTCTCTAGCCAGAGGTTTTCCTAATGCAGCCACCCCTGAGGTGTCTGCAGGCCTTGGAAGCTGCTTTGCTCCTGACTTTCAGGGACAGTTCCCAGTGTAGCTTCGAGCAGTTACTGCTGGGGGGGGTTTGCATGTGTATAAAATTTAAAAATAGCTTTTTATCAGAAATTTATGGAAGATAAGTTAGAAGTCATCAGAAATTAATAAGTCATTCATCTTCTGCCCAGGAATGACAGAAGGAATGAATGAACGACATACTTTGAGATTAGTAAACGGAATAACTTTGTATGCCTGTAATGGAGTATGATAGAAGAGTTGTGATTAGAAACTTTGATTAATGAAAAGAACTAGTGATTAGTAGTAGTTCAAGATCGGTCTTGTACCACAGTCTGAGAGGCTTGTGGGAAATGATAATGAACAAACAAGACAGATTTTTATATATATATATGTGTGTGTGTGTGTGTATATATCATGGCTAGGCTTCGCGAACGAAGATTTGGGAAGGCTCTATCCACATTTGCTACAGGCACGTTGGTGGAGTGGAGCAAGCAGTGCTGTCCTTGGAAAGGCTGCTTGGTGGTTCAGGGTGCTGCCCCAAGAGACTGTCATCTCCGGTCAGTCTCAAATGACCAATATCCTGAACCGCCTGCATGCCGGGTTGGGTCTGCGGCTCCCAGTGCACCTTTCACCTGCCGTTTCGACCCTCGCCCGTCGCTACAGGGCTTTTTGCATGTGGGTAAAGCCTTCAAGCCTGCGCAATGGATTTTTTAGGTGAGATGCAGCCTGCGCAGAACTGAACCCACCCTTTAATCCTGAGGTTCACCTGCCAGGGCCGAGCAAGCTTGGACGGTGGAAGTGAGGTCCTCAGGACGTAGGTTTGATTAGAGTGACCTTCTCTTAGATGGATGGCCTTACAGGGCTAAACGAGCTCCATCTGCCCGGGTTTGGGATTAGAGTTGTCCTTCTCCTAGGATGACTGCCAGAAGGCTAACGAGCTCATCCTGCCCACGGATGTATTGTGTGTATATATATATGTGTGTATATATATATATATGTATATATATATATGCACATGCATATATAGACATATATTTTAATATATATTTTTTAAACTGAAACACATTTTAATATGAAAGTTTTTGAACTACAAAAAAAAAAAAAGAGAGTCCACAGGTAAAAGTCAGTTACTGTTGAGATGTATTGATCATCTTCCCCCGAGATTTGGGTGTATTTGCTTACTTAGAGAGCTCACAATATGCAGAGCATGTTTAATAGGTGAAGCTCCTGGACAGCTTTCTCTGGCCTCAATGAAATTAGGATTTCTTCCTGTGTGTTCCAAAAGATCTCAAACACACTGTCATGCTGATGACGAGGTGTTTGCCTTTATGTGAACAGTCTAAACAGTAAAACTAATCATGCCAGTATATTTGTATGGGTCTAATCTCTGCCAAATTCAAGACAAAATAAATGAAAACATGACTTAAAAGATAACTTTTTCAACTGTTAAGCCAAATGATAATTATATTTAAACCTACACCAATGCACTTGCTGGCTTCGTATTATCCACAAAGAAATTTTTACTTCAATGTTTTATGTTAGTAATGATGGCAGTGTGTGAGAGAAAAAATGTTAGAATTAGAATTTAATGTCTGTGATTTAGGGTACAGCACAATTCTTGAGAGTTTGTATGAAAACAGTGAATTCAAATGTCAACAAAAAGCTAGGGCATACCACACTAAATATTCTTTACGAGATTTGTATTTTAGCTTACAGATAACCTTTATTTGATGTTTTTATGTGGATTTTGCTTCAACATTCTGACTATGAAAGGGGAAAAATTTCTTTTCTTTGCAAATCCTGTGACTGGTTTATATAGGAAAAAATAATTAAGATTTGAATTACATGTCTTGGAACTTTTGCATGTGTGGAAATGTGGCATAATTTTTATTCCCTGAAACTTATTCCTTTAATGAAAGTAAGGCAACAAAATGAGCATTTGTTGAGCTGATAGGTGAAATCAGATAATTTTTATTTAAAAACCAAAACAAAATACATTTTCTTCATGAAGTTAAACAGAAGTGGTATGAGTTTATCAGGATAAGCACTGTGAGTAGAAAATGTAACCGTTTTTTTTCCAAAGTATTTTCTCAATATTGGAGTTCCTCTGGTTCCTAATTTCTGAGATGTTTTAATGCAAGTGCACAGATAGATATGTAGTCAAGATCAGCTTCTGGAGTTCAATTTAGATCCATACCATTTTTAACTTTAAAAAAGTCCCTTAGGACTCAATAAATTAAGAATTCTGAGCTTTCAATGGCTAGGGAAAAAAGAGCTACTTATTTGATAGCATTTAAAATTGAGTTTGTTCAATGAAGTGTAGGTGTTCACAATATTGGGGAGATAAAAACAAGTTTTATGATCTTGTATTTATTTCTCAGTCCTGTTTACAGAGACTTGTTGGGAGCAGCTGGCTGCAGTTCTGACAGCACAGAAGAGTCAGATTAATTTAATGATGTGTAACTAGGCAGTGAAATAATTTAGTCTTTCTCACTCTTGGTAAAATGTTCCTTGACTATTGAAGAGAAGGAAGATGTTTCAGTTAATTCACTTTTGTTGTCCCCGAATGAACAATGGATGTTATCCCCCATCTCCACCTATCTGCTTTGTACCACTTTCCCAGGAAAACTAGTCAGCACTGACTCAAAGATGATGCTGAAACCTAGAAGACCTCAAAAGGTGGATTGCTCTTCAACTGGGATTGTAGCTGTTTTATTTCAGAAGATGAATGTAGATCATGGATAAACATGAGAGTTTAGATTTAGGCACTGGAAAAGTGCCTTTGCTTTTTTTGATAAAGAAGTATGTGTCATGTCTCTTTAATTAAAAAGAGAATTTTCCATTATAAAAAGGTGTCTGTAGGTTTTGATCAGTCAGACATTTACTGTGTTTTCTTTATGATGTTACTTCAGATGTAAAACATAATTGAGAGGTTTATCATGTGTTAAACTGGAACTGTGGACAAAAAAATTGCTGCTTTGAAGTGACATGTGCTGCTGAGAGCTAAAGGGAATGTACAGACAGCTTTCCAATACCTCAGTGCTTCTGTCAGTGTTCAATAGCTCTTACAAAAACCACCTTAATCCCTAATCCTGACAAAACCTCCAAATGGGCATTTCCACTGTGGCTGTACTGTCCTGTTACAGCCTTTTGTGATGGAACCAATCAGAATAAAATTGTTCACAGAGGTTTCTGTTTGCATTTTGAAACTGGAAATCTTGCTGTATGTAATAAAAAAAACACGTGTAGCCATCATCTGCATGACTGGAAGTGTCTGCTTTGATTTTCAAAGATAAAATTTTAAATCTGAACTTAAACAGTAATTTAATCAATATATTGATTAATAAATGCATTAACATACAGTGCTTATTAGAGTTTAATCATGCCAAGATATTACTACACCAAAACCTTTATGAATCATTAGCGAGAGATTGTCACATTTTGGTTATGCCATAAACAAGACACAAATTGAGTTTTGAGAGTATTAATTACCTTTATAGGAACTGACTGCAAATGTTTCATGTTCTTTCCAGAAAAATTTTCTTGTGATTGTTTCAGTTTGACTGGTGTCATTTGTTTTTCTTTCATTATGTATTAATCACTTTGACAGACTCACCAAACAGCTGAATGTAGAATTGAATACTGAGGTCAAATTCATTGCTCGTGTTGGCAATTACAGTTTCATTTCAATCCCTAATTTACAAACACAGGTACCTGGCTTTTGCATTGAAAGACATGTTTTGTGTCTCCTTGTCCTTGGCTTGTGCTGTTGGATGAATTTCACCCAGTTAGGATGAGACCAATATACTTCCTCTCATTCTCCTACCCTCTTATTTATTATCCAGTGGGTGCATGCAAGGATGCAGGGATGGTGCTAGCAGGAGGAAGAGAAACTACCAGGAGAGACTTTTCTGTGCTGTCCCTTCAATGCCTGTTCATTGTTTTACTTCACCTTTTTTCTGTCTAGAGAGCTCTGTCCTGGCTGGTTTTTAACTTCTGCAATTAAAACGGCTCTTTTTAATGGACCTGCAGAGAGACAGAGGGGCACTCTGATGGCCAGTGATACTCTGGGTGGTTCTTCCATGCTGTTCCTAGAAGTGTTAATTGAGTTTTGTGAGTGTGCAGCAGGATGTGAGGGCACCAGAGCAGCACAACAGCCACGGGTCCCTTTGTTCACACCACCAGCGTTGCTGATGCACCCCTTGCTTCCAGTGCTCTGTGTGTGGGACTGTGATGTGTGTTGGGAATGAAATGGTGCTGTTGGAAAGGAATCAGATGAACTCAAAGACCTTGAGCACCATTTTTCAGCTAAGAGAATTTTGGTGTAATTATGTGCACTTGTTCCATCTGCACACAGCAATATAAATACTACAGTGAGCTGGGAGTGAAGGGTGGGGAACGCTTCAGTCTAGAAGTCTGAAATAAAGACCTCTGCAAGAGTCAAAAAAGTATCTGGGCAATCTCTTAAAAGCCTCTTGATTTGCCATTTTGGCTTGTTTCTTAAAATGCTGGGAAGCAAAGGTGTTTTATCTTTAGTCAACAGTCTAAGTAACATTTTGCATATGAAATTCAGTAGGTATTTGTAAAAATGTGCATATGAGTTCCCAACTGCATGGAGTTGTATCTTCGTTTTCTAAATCTTAAATATGCTGTTTTTGTGACCACCACCCCTTGGAAATACTCTGTGTATGAATATGGAGACTGCTTAGTTCCTTCTGGTCAGGTTCCAATAGCTGTTTTCCCTTTTCAGTGGAATTCCACAGACTGGTGAACTTACACAGTATTCCTGGTGGCTGCCATGAGTTCACCAGGTGAAAGCTCAACTGAACCTGTAGAGCAGGTAGTGTCTGATGGCTTTAAAAATGACCAGTGAAGGTGTGTTATATTGAAATATATTTGTGTGACAGCATATACTTGGAAAAAATATAGCTGAGAGAGTGAAAAAGGGAAATGGAAAAGAGATGTTGTCAGTCTGTCTTTTGTAAAAGAAATATATTTGACAAATATGTGGATTGACTTACATAAATACAAAAGAAAAAGCAAGTTGTATATGGAGGAGAAAGTGTAATATGTTATAACTAGGAGGAATAAAAATTAGAAGAATTGCGAGAAAGCAATTATTCTTGGTATTTAAAAATTATAAAAATGATATCCCTAAAAACTTTACAGAATTATGTTTTAAGACCTTGATTAATGACACATAGAGTAATAGAGAAGCAGAATCTAGCCACCGTCAGAAATAATATTTGGTACCAGTATCACTAAACAGGCTGTAAAAGAAGAGCATGTGCAGATCATTTTTGTTCTCTTAGCAAGTAAAGCAGGTTAAAACTAGATAAACTACAACATGCTTGCAAATCCAGTCAGGAAGCAAAACATTTAAGATAAAGCTCATTAAACCACTCGGGTCTGTGCTTCATGGCTAATTTACTTAATATTGAGGATTCTTTTAGATCAGGCTGCAGTGCTTTGTTGGTTTGGGGTTTGTTGGGTTTTTTTTTATCATATCACTTTTTTTTGAAAAAAAAAATCAGTAAATCTCAACTTGCAGATGAATTTTTCATAAGCAGAAAAGGACTAAATATATTGGATCAGCTGGAATAATTTACTCAGTTCTGTCACTGACAGAACTGGTCAAACTGGTAGAAAAACAGCCCTCTAAGCTGAGGTTTGAGGTATATTGCCTCTGTTTCTCTGAACCAAATAGGAAGAGGGCTGGACTTACAAGAAGCTGTCATTTGATGTGCATCAGCTCTGCAGGGCCAAAGCAATGCCCAAGTGGGTTTGTTGAGTTCCCCTTTAGAACACTCTTGTCTGGGTTCATGTGTGCCAATGGTCAGGCACTTTCCCTCCAGAAAGTTTCCTTTCTGTTTTTCTGTTTGATAATGGACTTTGTTTAATCTGAATTGGATTGGGCTCTGGCTCAAGTCCTTGATAGAAAAGCTGTTGTGATCTCAACAGTGAGATACTGAAGTGCTCGTAACAATCTTGGGAATGGTCAAAGCTGGAGGAAAGGAAGAAATTTTTTTCCCATAATAGTGGTACAGATTAGTGTTCCAGGGTCAAGGTGTGCTTTGGGTATGACAAATGGATGCAGAACAGTACTTTACAGTGTCGCTTTTGGAGTAAAACATGTTCTGGTCTTTTCTCCATCCTCACAGGCACATGATACTGCAGAGCTCCAAAATCAGAAGTAAATCAGCTGGATAGTTGCGTCCTGTCTTCCTAAATAGGCAAACATACCAGGAACAGAAAAGGGGCCTACCTACCTCATTCCTGTAAGTAGCTGCAACCATCCCTCCACCCCCCATATCAGCACCTCTCCCTGAGTTGTTGTGAAATGCTGAGCAAAGGATGTGGCGAAGAAAAGGAAAATTTTAATTTGTTTTCTGGTTGACAACAATTAATTGTAGCCAACCAAAGAAACCAACTGAAATTATTAACAGGCTACCAGCATGCCTATTGCCTGTGGCAACACAGAGCTGGTGGATGATGCAGTGTTACTCATTAAATAGCTTCCTAAAGCCTGGATGCTGTGTAAGTTCCTAACCCACCCCTACCATTGCCATGTTAAACTGCTACAGCAGTTGATCTGTCACTGCAGAAGTTCTGTTTTGGGCCTGGTTCTTTGCTTTTAGATTTCTTAGCAGTTTGTTGTGTAATAATATGGTCTAACCCACAGTGTGACTTAGGTGGAAGATCCCCAGAGGAGCAGCCTTGGTCAGGACAGTGAACAGAACAAGGTGTTTAATAACTGGTGTTTAGCTGATATCAGCTGCTGGGAATTGCCATTTACTTGCTGATTTCTCTGTCCATTCTCCAGGGAGAAGGTGGGTTTACCAGTGTGGATGCCTGCCTCATTTGCTTCACCAAAATGAGTTAGGGCATGCAGGAGAGAAGGGGGATTTCTGCAAGTAGAACCTATCATGGTAAGTCAGATTTTGTCCCTGCTTCTGCAGTGATGCTAAATACATTGTTTAAACCAAACTTTTCACACAGAATTCTCTCTTCCCTGGAAGTATGTTATGTTACACATAACACTTTCTTGGCAGCAGGGCTGGATTGAGATGTTCTTCCCTACTACTTTTTCCTCTCCTACCACATGAGGTCCACAGAAGTGCTTGAGGGGACCTTCAGCAAATTACAGCAGCAAACTACATGGAGCTGAAAATAATGACTCTCTACCATGTATACAAAAAAATGATGAGTAACTGTGGTCTGTAGTTTTGATTGGACACCACAGCATCTGTCTTGAATATTACACTAAAATTAAGTACATGGGAACTATATTTTTAATTTTGAGTTGCTAAATACTCTGTAAAATGCAGGTACTCAAAATTAATAGTGTTTTTGAAGCTAATCTGTCTTCCTTGACTGTGTTTTTAAAATAGTATAATTACATTACTTGTTGGCACATTCTTAACTAAACTCATTCATGTTTTTGTGAGATGTGCATGTACTGAACAGGTGAGCATGGAAGAAAAAAAAGACTTCTGAACCTCCCTTCAAGAGGTTCAAAAGCTTCTAGTAAGTCAAGTTCCTGAGGCCACACTTGAATGGTTGTGTTCAACTCAACATTTGAAAAAATTGCTGATTTAGCGAGCCCTATCAATTCTGCAAAATGTTTAAAATCAGTGTTTAAAATGAAGGAAAACAGCAGATTGAGGATATAATTAAAGACTGTATTATAATGTTTGTGCACATTAGAACTGAATGAAAATTTTGCATTCTTGCATTTACTAAGTTTAGCCCACAGTTATTGCCAGGATGTTGTTCTGCCCCCCTTGGCTGTGTATCCCACTGTGGGAGCCACAGTCTCGAGGCCACGCACTTTTCAAATTTCAACTCTGTCTGCTTTTTTTGCTAGACTGAAAATGGGTTAAAACATCCTTATACAGAGGTGGAAGACTTGTTTGATACTGGTGACTTTGGCAGCTATAACTGTTTTGTGATCTGTTATTATATTTGACCTGCATGAGTTGCTGTATAACGTTGTCAGGAAGTGCAGCAGCAGTGCCAGTGTGAGATGCCACATTCCCCCAGGCAGTTGGAGGCTGGGTCTTATTTTTTGTACACTGTTATTAAGCCTAATAGTGTTTTGACTATAAAATGAAAGTTCAATGCTTAAGGATGTGAGGACTAAATACCTTGTAGAGATTAATTTTAATTACTGCAAGTATAAGTTCCCTGTCATTGTTCACTGCGATTGTGAAGGAGTCCCAACAGAAGTTCTACCAGTCCATAGCACTGCAGCATGGAAACTGTGTCTGCCTTCCTGTCTTCATTAAATCCATTCAGGATTTAATTTGTTTCTAAGCTTAACCTTGGGTTTGAAATTCACTGTAAACCACTTTTTCAACAGCAATAGTGACTAATCAAACATAGGTTATATGTTTGATATAGATGCATTGCCCTTCTCCCCACTCCTCAGAATAATAATTCTGTTGTCTCATGTCTTCTGTTCTTTGTTGCCTTCATTTCTTCAGGTTTTCCTAGACTCCCACTTCTGTGTTATCCCAGTTCTCACACATCTTCTCAGTGCCTTGTAAGGATGCCCCAGCTCAAGCTTCTGGGCAGAGGTTTCCCACATGTTGCCCTCAGAGATGCCTGAGCAATTGCACATCTACAAACATGACAGTTTTGAATTAACTCAGAATTAATTTAAACAAAAGCAAATGCAATATCTTCTTCAAAAATGTTTCCTTACAAGCAAACCTTCATACCAAATCCATATAAGCAGACTGGACTGGGTGTGGATTAAGTCAAGCAGAAAAGCAAAGTTAGAATTCACAAATCTTTCTTTCCTATTTTCAATAATTAATTTTGTTGGGCTTTGGGGATTTTTTTTGTTTGTTTTGCTTTTCGCATTTCTTTTGTCTCTGACTGGCAAAGGTCACCTCTTGAACATAAATTCTTTGTCTGTCTCTGCTTGAACATAGATTCTTTCTCTTCCTTTCAGAAGTGGGACTTGATGTCCCAAACCATCTTAAGGTTCCTGAACTGTTGCTGAGCTCATCCATTTTCTCTATAGCTGATGCACAAATTTTTTCAAAGCCCCAACCTTCTCTGTGGGCACTGTTTTTTATTTAAGATGTTGAGGATTAAGGATAGTGTTAGTAAAACCTTTGGCATTCTTTCTGAGAATTTTATAAGTATCAACTTGGATCAGGAGAAAAAGCTGTGTCCAAGTGTTGCATACAGAATTTTTCCTTTGGATCCATCGTCACTTCAAAAGTCCTTATGAGTTTGGACCCTGCCCTCAGTGTCTGCAAGTCTCTGTCTCTCTACTCGAGTGTCAAACTAATTTTGTTTGTCCTTGCCAGGTCTCCAGCATGGAACAATTGCACTGCTCTGTTCTGCTGGGGCAAAGGCAATCCCTGGTAATGGCTTCTTTAATCTTGTAAAAGTAATTATTTTATTTGGGGCAGTGACTCCAGCCAATTCCAGTCTCCTGTTGGGGAGAGTGGTCAAACAGAGATAAGCAGTGCCTGCATAAGATGAGTTAGACTCTAATCTCTCATCATTTTAATTTAAGTGAAAAAAATTCTAAACTTGATTCTCAAGAGTCCTAACATTGTATGTTTACCTTCTCCTGCCTTGTTTTCAGGTAATAGTGGTTAGCACTGTATGTACTATTAACACTTATGTGTCTCATCCAAACCAGATCTATCCACTGGGTCTTGTTTGTGCATCTGAAGTGTCTAATGCTACTGTATACTTCAGTTAGATTTTGTTTTTCAAGGTCTAGAAAAGTAGAAAATCAGAGTAGACCAGAGAATCTGCAGAACTGAAGAGAAAGGAGGAAATGAAGTAATCTATTATTCCACCTTGCATCTAAAATTTTTTTGATGACAAAAGTCACTTCTAAGCTTTTAGTTATTTGTTGCAAAAAATAGATCTTTCTTGGATATTCCTTTTACCAGCTTTACAGAACTTACTTCTCTGTGTGTCCCCTGATGCACAGCTTGGAAAAGAAACCCCTGGCTTAGCTGGCTGAAGCTCCCAGCCAGAGGTGCCGTTGTGCTGCTGCTGGGGCTTGTTCTGTGTGACCAACTCAGGTCCTGCCAAGCTCGGGGTCTGCTTTAACAAGGTGGGGTTCTGGTGTGTAAATAAGCCCAGGGGTCTCTCACCCTCCCTCCCAGTGCCTGCTCTGGGCTCATCCTTGGCACAGGAATCCTCTAGATTCTGGTTTGTTTTACACATCTGCATCAGACATGAGGCATCTGCTGTTTCCACCCCAAGCATAACAAATACTACCTACAAGTTCTTAGGAAACTGCCTCCTTTGGGATGTTGGCAATGTCCCAGAACTTCCTGTAGTGAGTAGGGGATTATCAATAGGAAAAAAAGCTCACTTTTAATTTTCTGATGCAGTTACTATAACTTGTAGTCGGAGTGATAAGACAGAAATGTTATTCTGTTTTATTTAAGTGTCATATTGGCTATTGCTGTGGTGGTATTTTTACAGAAGTATGCTGGCTTATAACAGAGCAATGACGTGGTTTTACAGATAACTGGGACACATTACCTGTCACTATGGGCAGCTTACTCTAGAATTCATCATTTGGCAGTTACTGTTCATTTTAGGCTAATTTAACATGATGCACCATTTGATGGTACTCTGAATTTCAATATTGAATTTGTCCTAGGACTCCTCATTAAGGTACAATTAATAAAGACTAACTGCTGTATTAGGATACTCAGGCTGCTCTGCCTAACGTGGGTGGAAGTAGAAGTGTGTTTTAATTACAGGCAATGCTCTGTCATTTTGAGATTTAATTGCTAGTTGGATTGATTATTTTAATAACTGCCTATTATGAGACAATTTTATTACATAATAGCAACAATATTGTTATTGCATGAGGTACATACTGTCAGTGAGTGCAAACACAGGGCTTTGCTTTTCCAAATGTAGAAAACAAACGCTCCAGTTCATGCTCTTTACCTCTGGTATCTGCCTTCACATGTATCATCACTTATTTTGTCAGTGTGCATTAGACTAGTTTACTTAGTCCTCATGAAATCGAAATACTTTTGCTAATTACCAGAAATAGAGTAAAATACTTCTGAGTCCTGTTCCACAGTGAGAAATGAGATTCGTTCTCTTTTGCACAAACTGGATAAATCATGTTTTTTACTGTAACTGAATCCATGTCTCTAAAGCAGCAACTTCACAGAGCTTTTCAGGCCAGTGTATTAAAAAAAAAAAATTAATATCTTAGACAGTATTGTCCAAGGTAGTTTCTCCTGGAATTTCAGCAAATTTTTGTTTGTCTTGAAGATTCCTTCGTCTCAGTAAAACTGTTTTTCCAAGGTAGGTAGTTCAAGAGCTGGGTGAAAAGAATTAAATGTATCCTTTAAAAAAATGTTCTCACTGGACACTTTAATCATTAGGATGTAAATTAAGAAAAAATATTGACTGGTTCAGTTTAGAGCAAGAATCTGTTATTCTAAAGAAATACACTTTAATCTAAGAAGGCCTTAATATATTATAACATGAAAATTACCTATATAGAGTAGTAGAAAGATACAGTTTGAATATTTCATGCAGTATACTTTTGTAGTACTTTAACACTCCTTTTTTAGTTATTCAGCATGAAATCCATGAGAATTTCTCTCCCATTGTTTTTACTGTTAATAACATGATGTGCATATGAGCACAGTGTCTACAGACTGGGCTATAGACAGTGGCCACATGGTGAAAATATGATCTGTATCTCTCTTGAAGATACAGATTTCTCTCTCTGAAATTACTATTTCAGATAAGGTGATTAGAAAATCTAAGTTTCTAATGTGTTAAACCTTTAAAATCAGAACAGTTCAAAATAAGTGTGTCCATCTGTTCTGGATCCTGCATGGGCTCTGTGGTAGTTTTAGCATTTCAGAACTAAGCTATAGCCCAACCTAAGTTCATTTAGTCACATGCTTGT